AGGCTAAAGGAGGTCCAACATTAGCGGGCAGCAGCGGGCTGTTGCGCCTTTTGGGGTAGCCAGCACAGAACAGCAGTTGAGGGTCAAGGTCCAGATGCTTGGAGCCCAATTTAGGGTTTAGGGTTCAGGTTTTAGGGTTCAGGGTTTAGGGTGCAGGGTTTGGGGTTCAGGGTTCAGGGTTTAGGATTCGGGAATAAACCAAGTATAACCTACCCTGGACCTAACATCCCTAAACCCTAAACCCTGTAAATGGAACCATTGAGGTGAGAAGCAGCGACGCAGGCTTGAGCGATTCCGAGCTGGGGCGCTCAGCCAGGTTATGGGTTCAGGATTTAGGGTTTTGGGTTTGGTGCAGGCATTGGGGTTCAGATGTTGGGGCTTTGCAGGGTGTAAGGGTTGTATGCCTTCTTGTTTAGTATTGGCTATCGGCCAGGGGTTGATGCTGTTATGATCATGATTTCATGGGTTGCCCGAGCTGGACAGTAGGGACAATGCGGGTGTAACACACCCCTCTGAACTGTTTCTTGGGCTCGACTGGACTTTTCATATGCGAAATGTTTATCCAGCACGTACTTGTCAGCGCAGTTCCTGTTCCAAATGTGCTGTTTTGTTAGAATGCCAAACAGGGCGGCTAAAAGGGAGCTTTTCAATCCAGCACTCTCAGCTCTCAGAAGTTTTCCGGCCATCCAAGCACACCAACCCATCTTACAGTTCAATGTCACAGCCTACACCCTACACCCTAGGCCACCAAAGTTCTAGGTAGCGAAGGCACACTTTCTCCCAACGCTCCACATTGCTCAGTGTTTGCGCAAGCAGTTAGGCTAACATTGAAAGCATGAGGTAGAACTGGACGATATGGGCAGTTTCTAAAATTAGAGGTACTGTTTTTTTTGGGGGGCACTAACAAGGAGTTCAGCTGTTAGGGGTCTATACCGGGGTGCTTTGTTTGGGACACTACCATATAGTTGTCTCTTGAGGAAATCTTGGAGGCTGGCACTTGCAGCTCAGGCCACATGATTTAGGATGTAGGGCTTAGGGATCCGCATGTAGTTCAGTTCTTGCTGTATCGTGCACGCTAATAAGGCCTACAATCATAAGCCACATAATCCAATAGTCCTCAACAAGATTTTGTGTCGTGGGGGCCATGTGCCGGCGCCGCCCAAACTTGTAGGGGTGGGGGGGTAGTATGTAGGTTAATAATGACAGGGATAACCCGGGTAGCTTCCAGGGGATGTAAGGATACTTGCTAAGTCCCCGTGACTCTCCAACCCCAAAACCTAAGCCCTCACACGATCCCAGCTTGCACTTTGGTTGCCATGTTCTTTCTTTGGGGTTTCCATTGTAGGTATATACACAGAAGCACACACCCATATGTACATAGTAGCCTGCCCTGAGCCCTATTGTAGGATCCTTGCCTTGTGCTGAGGCGATGCAGGCTGGCTTGAGCGTGCGGTCCTCAAGATTTTGGCTTTCTTAAAGACAGGGGGCGTAGGGATGGGAACATGGGGACTGACAAGGGGAAAACCACGGTGTAGGGCCTAGGGGAAATTCCACGCGACCATATTGTTTGGAGGGTGACGCGCTGCGAATCTTACGCAGGTCACGTGTGTCAGAAAACATGAAAGCGCTGACCATGCAATGTAGCTATACTAAGGACCATTGTATATTGAGCTGTACATTGGGGCCCCCTTATCTTGGGAAACTTTAAGTTTTAGTGACTTATCCTCCCCACATTCTTGCCCACCCTAAGCCCTAAAGCTTAAACCCTAGTTTCCATTTTCTTTTCCATTGTCCCAATATATACCCCATGCAACCCCTATTACCTTGTATTGTCACTCATTCCACAACCCCCCCTTATGCGGAGTCATGGTTCACCAAGAGCGCCAGGCTCGGGGATGCCGCGGATCCAAAATGCGGCTTCGTGTTTGGGGATTAGGGTTTAGGTTTTAGAGATTAGGGTTTAGGGGTTTCGGGCGCAAACCCTAAACCCCTAAACGCTTTTGAGCAAGCTACCCAAGGGCTGCAATGTAGTTTCTTGCGAGTTTCACAGCATAGGGCCCAGGGCTTGAAGTAAACCCCAAACCCCAGACCCTTAAACCCCAAGACCCTAAACCCTGAACCCCTCAACCCTAATCCCTAAACTCTATACCCCCAAACCCCTAGACCCTGACAATGCAACAGCTTAGGAAGGCGATGCGGATGGCGATGCCAAGGAGGCGGCTCTACCGTATTGTCATGTTTTCCAAAAAGGTAAATGGTAGGGGTTTGTATACAGTGATCCTTAGGGTTTAGGGTTTCCCCCTAGATTCCGCCTTAGTGACAATTGCTTTTGGATAGTTAGTGCTAATTTAGATATATCTCAAGGCTAATTTGGGGAACGTAGGGGGGTGTAGTAGGGGGGGGTGTAGTAGGGGCACACATGAAGTCGCCGGCGTTTGGCGGCCTAGGGTTCAGGGTTGGCAGTTTTCTGTCCCGAAGGGTCCAGGTACCTGTATAGTATATACAGGTACTTTGCGCTGAGTGCATGGGCCCTTTGATGTAGAACCTTAGGTCATAGGCGTCAACATGCGTTGCTGTGATGTTGCGACTGGCGGGTACGATCGTTATCGCCAAGTGGAGGCGATGGGGCGGAAGGTTTTTTTCCAGTCTGCCAGTCCAGTTTGTGTAACAGAGAACAGGTAACAGGAACTAGCAGCGTGAGTGATGCTAGCAACATGTGCTCACGAGAAGTTGTAGCAAAAGTAGTCATTTATACTGTGGCACTCGTAGCAGACGTGGTCATAAGCCGCCGTGCGAGAGACTCCTCTTGCAGGCCCATTTGCAAGCGAGGCTGCAAGTGCCAAGCTCATTTAGCAGATCGTGGATGCTTTCGCCATGAGAATTTGGACTTGACAGCGTGCAGGCCACTACGCGCATGGAAGTTAAAGCACGACGCCCGGAGAGATGCGTCATGGTGCGTGTTCAGAGGAGAAGTATCTGGGTTCATAGCCTTTTGCTGAGCCTAGTTGTGTTGTTCTTTGTCAGCACTTCTTGTCCTGTTCATGGGTGCCAAGCAGAGATGCGGAGCTTTCACAGTGTGCGAGGGCTGTATTTAGGTTTGTCCACATGCCAGGGAAAACATTTTTAAAAAATGCACGATCCATGGAAGGAGATGCCCAACTTAGTTGGAGGTTGCAACATGTCGGTTTCTCTTCTAGTGACTAGAATATTGGGGTTATATGGGGATAATGGAAAAGAAAATGGAAACCACTGTAGTATGTTGGGGTTATATGGGGATAATGGAAAAGAAAATGGAAACTAGTCCCACACCTGAATCGTGGAGGTTGGGTTTGCTTTGCGCAGTGTTTGGTCTGAGCCCCAAACCTGTGGATGTATGGAAACCCTACACCCCGAACCCGTCACTTTACACTAAGTGTAGCAACAACATGACCGTGTGGTGCCAGCTTGGGGGTCTAGGGGTTCGTTCAGGGTTCAGGCTTTGGATAGTTCCCGTGTTTAGGGGTTGAGGCTCGCTGGGCAGAGATGGACAGGCAGTCCACAGGAAGCAGTGCAATTTTTCATTTCAAAGCCAGGACAACCCATCCAAGCGGAATACTCCAAAATCCACCGAAAGGAGCCCTGCATGTTTTTTTGTTGTTTTTAAGATCTTCAAAACTAGGCTCCGCCATTAAGCAGGATTGAACTCATCTGAGACTTTGAGGCCTCAGAAGGTGACTCTGTCCTTGCCAAGCTGAGAGCGAAGGCTGACCTAGCTTGAGTGTGCTGAAAGCAGGAGCTTCCTTTTAGGGTTGGGGGTTTAGGGAGTTTGAGTGTTGAACACAGGGGCTCCATGTATGGAGTAAACTTGGAGGGTCAGGGGAGATACTTGTTAAGATTTACATATAACTCCTACAAGCCACATTGTAACCAAGTCGTCCCTATCTTATCCTACTTACTAAGTCCCCCTGACCCGCAATCAGGGTTCAGAGTACTTTTTGGAATTAGGGATGGTGAAAGGGAGTGAGGGTCACAGGATTTCCTTTTCAGGATTCTACGAGAGGTCGGTTTAAGGTTCAGGCGTTAGGGTTTAGATTGGGTACTGCCCCTCCTCAGTGACAGTGGGATAATCATTATAATATGGGTATATATAGCCCTTAATAGGACCCCTAATATAGACTGTTACTGGCGGGGGGGCAGTACCCAAGGTTTACAGTCTTGCACGAAAAAAAAATGGTAGGTGGACTATCACGGATTGGGGTAAGACGACATCTGGTCCAAAAGTTCCAATGTTTGATAGAGTCAGAAGGAAACGCGGGGTAGATTTTAGGAGGACCCCCCACCCTGTAATAGTGGTATAATGGGAATATAAGAGGACCCTAATAAATCCTTATTATCCATAATAGTCACTATTACTGGGTGGGGGGTGAACCTAGGGTAGATTTGAGAATACGTGTTTGAAATTTGTGTTATGTGCCCATAATCACAATTCCCATATAACCATAAGCCCTCTCAAGCCATAAAACCAATGTTTCTACATGGTCAGAAGCCTACCCTTTTAAACGTGCATTAAACCCTAAACCCTGGATCTTCAGGTTTAATTAAGCCCGTGGCAGTTCAGGGTTTTGGGCTTAGAGTTAAGGACTTAGTACGGGGCCTTTCTGTCTGGAGCTCGGAGTGTTGTAGAGAGAACGGAGTGGCTGCTAAGGTAATCAGGTAGCTAATGACGCTTCAAAAACAGGATGAAGCAGTACTTTTTTAAAAAAGCAGAAACCCTAAAGGTTGTTAGAGGAATCCTTGTAGGATCAGAGCTTTTTGCAAAGTGATGGTCTCAGTATGAAAGACTAGCTGATCACCTTTCCGTAATAATGAACTCCCCACCCCCGAATGATATCTACGCACCCCAACATACAAATGTACTCTACCTGGGCACGGCAGTGGGTAGGCTTAGCATCAGAGGGACGAGATTAACAGAAAGCATTCCGGCTGTTGTGCTGCTTTCATAGTTACAGTTTTCTTGAGTGAAAGTGACTAGAAGCGCTCCTGCCCGCTTTCTGCAAGCTCCGTGTTCACATGCCACTATGGAGGATAGTTAGAAGAAGGTGACTTCTCTCTCTAAGCCGTCTCTACCGCTGGCATACGATGGATCCGTCTCGTTGGAGTGCTCTGGAAGGCTATCCACCTGACAGCTGCCCGCCTGAACATTCTATCGATCACATTGGACGGACCAGCCCAGCAACCCGCAAGCTCCTCATGCAGAAAAGTGTGTGCCCAGCGGTTGCAAAGGGTTCTATATGGGTTATTTAGGGATTATATAGGGGATAGGGATAGTGGAACTGAAAATGGAAACTACTATAGTATTTTAGCTTATCACATAAAGCACTGGCTGTGAGGCGGAGAAAGAAGAGTCGAAAGACAAGGAGGCTTGATTCCTCGCTGCCTGAACCCAGTTCCTCACTGCCAGTAAGGTAGAGGGTCCAAGTAATGTACAAAATAAAAAGGTCCCTTTAAAGGGGATACGTAGAGATATATAAGGGTAGATAGCAGGGTCCATGTACCCAATAATTAGGTACCTGGGTTCTGGGTAATAGTAATTATAGTACAGGTTTTGCGTGAGTATATGATTATTAGGTGCTTGGACCCTTAGGGTAAGTCGGCTCGAGCCCGAAGGTCATTGCAATAATGATATATAACAGTAAGAATATTATGAATAATAGGAATAATCAGAACAGCAGTTTAAATAATAACATTAATAACACGATTTTCACAACCTGGGAAGCGTGCATGCTTGGTTGCCAGGTTGTGTTCTGAGCCTTGTTTGGTGAACTGGAAGGTACCACGAATCGATTCCTGTACCCTAAGGCTCCATGTGGTAGTTTCCCTAAATAGGGGGACCCCAATATAGACCCAAATATATTATAATCCTCATTATGGGGACCCCCCAAAAAGTACCCCTAATTTAGGGATAACCCCATATAGGTCTTGCTTATAGACTTTAGGGCCCAACGTAGGCATTATTTCTATAGTCCCCATTAAGTAGATAGAATAATTAGGTATATGATAATAAGATCTCCATATACTCCATTTTCTATATACTCAAGGGGCACTATAGTGTTTATAGACTTTAGGCCCCAATGTAGGCAATATTTCTAGACTTGGAGCTCCGGGGTTAAGCTCTCGGAGCTTCGAGCCCGCATAACCCGCGATGTACTCGCGGAGCCACCAAGCTTCTCCACCTCTAGGGCGTAGGCCTTGGGGCTTAGAATTCAGGATTAAAGGTCTATAGGGTTTAGGGGTTTAGGATATAGGATTTTGGGTTCAGGTTTCAGGGTTAGGTACCCCAGTAGTACCCTTGTTAAACAGGGGTTTTCTTATTAAAGCAGAACACTAGGAAAAAGGGGACGGTTACTATTAAGGGGCCACTGGTGAACCTAGGCCTGTTTAGGAGGCCAGTGATGCCGTGCCCCTAACACGAATAATGAAGCCCTTTCACCCGATAAGAAATGTGCCCCATGCATCAATACAGGCTATCTTGCTACTGATTAGGGGGGATGGAGGATTTTTTGCAAACGTGATTGCAAGGACAGCTGCGCACTATTTGAATAGGAGGCATTTGTCTATGACCTCTGCCGTACGTATCTGCATATCCAGGAGATTGCCCAAGGCGTGGGCACCCCACTTATCCAATGGGTCCATGTAGCCCCAAAAAATTCCCATATGATAAACTTAGGGCCCAGGTATATACTATCTGGCTACATGGACCCTTTGGGTTGTGATACCCATCATGAGCTGCAGTGTTGGGCCAGGGGGGCACAGCGTCAGATGAAGACAAGTCGGCGACGTCAGAGTGGGAAGATGCTTAGCCTTGCTGGAGGGCGGCCTAGGCCATAAACCTGAAACTAAACTCCAGGCCATAGAGAAACAAGGAGGTGCAGCTCCTGGAAGTGATGACCTAGCTTTGGGGGTGTGGGGTGGGCAAATTTAAGGCTGCAGTTTTTTTTTGTTTTTTTTTGGGAGGAGGGAGGGGGGGGGTGAGGGGGGGTGAGGGGGGGGGGTGTAGCCGTTTTAGTTGTTTGAAAAGGCTGCAGCTTGGACAGAACATGTACTGCTTGAAGTTTGCCATTTGTCTGGCCACAGGCGATTTCAGACTTGTCTTGAGAGAATGCCTTGCCTGCACAAGGAGTATGGGCTATCCTCTTCAAATGCTTGCATTTGGACATCTGCCATACCAGACTTCCGACCCAAGAATATGCCCGAAACCCCAAATCCTGTATGAGTCTTATTAAGTCGAGAACTTTCAGATGCTGCAAAGAAAGGCCCTGCTGTCAAGAGAGTCCCATACCCTTTGATTCAGGAAACGCCTAGATGATGCTAGGACCCTAGTGTGATTTCTTCAGGGTTTGGGGGCGAGGGATTTTACCTAAACCCTAAAAGGCCTAAATCCTAAACCCTAGAACCCTAAACCCGAGGGAATATTCCTAAAGCCTAAAACCCTAAAGCCCTCAATTGAGGGATATGGGGGCCTTACCGGGTTGGTGCCGTCTTGCCGAGGATGACGCCGAAGGTCGAGATGCCGAGGTACCACTTTCACTGCTGGGAGGGTTTAGGGTTTAGGGGTTTAGGGTTTAGGGTTCCTGACAAATGAATTTCTGCCCCTAATAGTAGGGTTTAGGGTTTAGGGTAATGGTAAGCTTATAGTAGCGTTCAGGGTATATATGTTCATGGAGCATCAAAGGAAAAGACAATGGTAAATGAAGTGGAAGAAGGTAGTTCATATTCGCATCAAAATTCCCCCACGCCCCTGATTTTAGATGTTCCCCTCGATCATGGTATACTGTTGACCGGCAGAGGCACGAAAAAGCTCTGGCAAGAGACGTGAATGCATTTCGCAGAAGCTCGCATTCACATTTACTCAGTTTGCTCAAGGGCGAGTGGGGAAGTAAGTGAATCCCTGGAATGCACCATGTCCAATTCCTGCAATGGTCCCCATATTCCTCCCTAATTACCCCAAAAACACTATCAACCCTAAACCCTAACCAACCCTAAACCCTTAGGGTTTAGGGTTAATCCCTAAACCCCAAGCAGGGAGTACTCAGAGATTGAATCTCATGATGAAGGCTTTGCTGCAACTTCCCTTGGCAGGGGTGCTTGTTAGCACTTGCTCCGCAATGCCAATTTGGAAGTGCCCAAACATTTGGAGTTTAGGGTTTAGGGTTTGGGGCAGTACTGTGATAGGGACCGCAAAAATTTGCCATAATTGTTTGACATGGGCTCCTGCCTGCTTCCTGGGTCCTAACTATGTGCCCTTACTTGGGTTTGTATGGGTTCACAGAGGATATCATAGGTAGATAGGGACCGTAGGAAAAGGATTGGTAGCAAGAAGAGGGATCGTGAAAAGGATAGCACACGGCGGATAGAGAAAATGATGCACCACTCTTGTGCAAACAAACCACATCACAAACCATACAAGCCCAACCTTAAACCCTAAACCATACCCCCTAAACCCTAAAACCTAAACCCTAAACCCAAAACCCAAGAAGATTGACACGGTGCAAGATTATGGTCCGTTGTCCTGACTGGCTTCCTTCGCCAACTCCACCAATATGAGGTTCCCAAAATTAGGTGTACATACCTGTTTGGGTCCTCGTAACAAGAAGAATAGCGTTTTGGGTCCATGTTGGGGTCCCCCTATTTGAGAAAGTACAATATTATCAAGGGGCAGGGATGTTACAGCAACCATTTACGTCGCACAAGATTTCCGCCATGCACAACCCGAAATTCAGAACCCTGATATGGAGTCATATACTATACTAGTTTCCATGTTCTTTTCCATTATCCCTTTATAACCCCAATATACTATAGTAGTTTCCATTTTCTTTTGCATCATGCGTATATAACCCCAGTGTACTGTAGAAGTTTCGATTTTCCTTTTCCATTATCCCGAATGGTCGGGAGGCCGCCGCTGCGAAGAAAGGCCAGCAGCATGTGAATGCTCCTTGAAGCGAGAGCTGTGCTCCCTTTAACAGGTTAATGAAACTGATAGGCCCTAAAGTTTGGTTTTAGGGTTTGGGGGGCCGAGAAAAACTTGAATCACCCCTGACCTCACTAAAAGCTCCAAAGCTGCCATTTAAGGCCCTAGTTTGTTGGGCCACAGTCGCTCCCTGAATTGACAGTCTCGCATTAGGGTCTAGGGATAATAGGGCTGATCACGGCCAAGACGAGCCAAGCCATCAGTGATGGCACATGTGCGTTGCGGATTCGCAGAAGTAGCAATCAGAGCAACAGCGCGGACAGAAACAGAACCAGAGCAGAGCCCTAAACTCCCTAATCCCAAAACCCTGATCTGTAGGGTTTAGGGTTTAGGGTTCAGGGGGTTCGAACAGAGACGCCCCAGAGTGCAGCGACTGTTGGACCAGACATAACCCCATCCAATTGGCTTGTCTTACTCAAGCCTCCTCATACCCATAATAACAATAACCTGCATACCCATTATTTGCGCTCCGGGGCCATTATTATGGGCATTTAAGAGGTTAAGGTATCCAGCAGCTGAGAATCGCACGGTCAGCATGAGGCAAGGATCTGCAACGCTTTTCGCTGTGTTTACTATTCTCACACAAGAGGACAAAAACAAGAAAGCAAGCTCACACGGCTTCGTTCCATACCCTTTATTGCTCCAAGTAGCCCAGCATAGGTAATGTGTATAGACTGGGTAGTTATACTCTCTACACCCTTGGGGTTCCTATAACCCTATCATACAAAGAGGTCAGACTTTTCACGACCTGGATAACTCTGCAACCACTCCTCCACCCCCATTTGGATTTCGTAGGCGTGAAGAAGAAGAAAGCGGAAGAGAACGCCGCCACCAAGGAGCGGTCTACCAATCCCTTGAAGATCCATGTGAGTAGCTGAGTTACTGTGGTTCAACTTCAGGTGTCGTGACTTACTGGTTCTTAGAAGGAAAGAAGGGAATGTTTTCCCGGGCCCTATATGATATATCCCCTTATGCCCTACGAACCTCTAGTAAGAAACCCCTTCCGCTGAGGCTCCAAGTACCTAATACTCAGATCCTTACCCAAAACCCTTGGTATGATTACTATTACCCAAAACCCAAGTGTCGAATTTTTGGGTACTTGGACCCGCTGGGTCAGGATCCATGCCAATGACCCTAAACCTAAAACCCTAAACCCTGGACAACCCTTATTGGGGGGGCTCGGAGTGCACGCTTAGGCTTTGCGACCCTGTAGCATCCCTGCTGCGAGCTGAATTCCGTAGACCCTACTTGGCCTACTGGGCTTAGTAGGGAAGAAGGGAATACATAATACAGGGATTTTGTAGGGATTATATTCCCGTATTCCCTACGGAGAACGAGTCAGTTGGGGGATCAGCGGGAGTTAATGTTGGACCTTCTTTGTTGGAATAGTCCCCTATAATTAGTTTGGGGGTCTGCCTATTCAGGATCGCGGCAATGATTGTAAGGCCCCCTATAATGTGTTTTGATTTTGGGTGTCTGGATTGAAGGATTTTCAACAATCCCTTTTAAATCAATGCACAGGGACCTCAGAACTGTGGGAGCTCAGGGGGCCGTATTGAGGATCCCTAACTTATACAGTATTTTTCGGAGGGCCCTAATGTTAGGGGGGCCCCTTATTAAAGGGGGTCCAACATTATAAGTAGGCTCACAAGTGGGTGACTGCGATGGCTTACTAATATGACTTATAGGGGCTATACGCATATTTACCACTCCCTCTCCAAGGAAACCCTAAAGCGTCATGTGTGCAAAGCTCTGGTGCGCAAAGGGTCGGAAAAACATTCACCGGTTCACCAATGAGGCTCTAGGTTGCAGCTTAACAGTTGATGTGTTGATATACCTTCGCACAGGGAGAGGTGCGTCTGAGACACGAATGTTACTAGGTACCCCAGTAGTACCCCTTTTCCCCTTTTTGTCTTGGGGTACCGTATTAAAGCTGAACACTAGGAAAAAGAGTACCCTTATCATTACAGAAGAGGTGGCTGTGGGGCCTGCGTTTTTAATGTAGGTATTTTCGATGTTTTGTAAGGCTTCATATAGTTATAGTATGTATTTGCTTATGCATAGGAGGGGTCACTGGGGAACCTAGGTTGCGCGGTTTAGGGTTTAGGGTGTGCTTTGGAAACTTTGTTTGATGGCGCGAGCTCTGGAGAACGGTCCGGGCTTTTGAGGCACAATGCCAAGACGACTGCGCGAACCCAGAAGGGCCTTCAAATTATTCCACTCAGGGATTTCTGACAGGCAACAGATGAGCTATAGTCTAAATAAACTCCTATCTCCCCTCATAACACCTATAATGCTCTCCCATGCAATCCCACACAATCCCATAAATACATACAAATATATATATATATATGGATGGCGTTCTAAACCCCTGCCTTTAGAGGCAAGACTACGGCTGCATTAGGCGGAATGTGTCCAAAACCCCAAGCGCGCAAGCTGGCGCAAGGGCGAGCGCAAGGAAATCTAATGCTGGAGCACCGATATTTGAATTTAGAACAACATCTATATATATATATATATATTTATCCCCCTGTAAGGAGTTTAGACTATAGCTGAGATGACCCTTAGGCCTGGTTAACCCATGTTGTAAACCCCAAGCCTACATACTTCGATAAGGCTCAGATCCCATGTCAGTTTCCATCTTATGTTTCCTTTCTTGGTGGAATATCCTGAGACCCCAAAACAGACCACCAATTTACGGACCCCTCCCCCCCCCGTGTTGGAATGTATGGCTATTCCTTATCACCACTAGCATGCTTGAATCCTGTGCGTCAACAGTGGTGTCTACCTGGGCTAGTTTTATAAGTTTTTATGCCTCATTTCTGTTGACAACCTACCGTATGAAGTGATCTGATTCAGAAAAGCAACCTGAACAAGAAGCCGCAAGCCATGATTCATGGTAAGGCAGAGAGTAAGTTCATCGGCAGGACATGAATGAGGCAGCCCATGAGGATGCTAAGGCCGTGAAAGGGACTCCCCAATCCCCGCCCTAAACCCTGAACCCTAAACCCTAATCCTAAACCCTACTTCCCACCCTTAATGCCACACCCTAAACCCTAAGACCTTGCAATTGTGATCATGGTAGTGATGGGCTCATGGCTTGGTTGCACTTCCAAGGGCTCTTCGCCTTGAGAAAGGCCCACACTTCCCATCCTGTGTTGCCCCTAAGCATCCAAATAGGGTTTAGGGATTAGGGTTTAGGGTTAAGGGATTGTTGTTTAGGGGTTAGGGTCTAGAGTTTAGGGCGTGCTGCGAGTTATGGTGCAAGCAGTGATGATTGGGTTCACACGACCCTTCAAGTGCATGGCTGCATGCGAAGTGCTGCCATGGCCCGTCTGTGGCTGGCCATCCAACACATTCAACCACCCCAAGCCGTCTAGGCGAGCAATGAAGCATACTGTCCGCTCTGTTGCAGGGGGAAGGTGCTGACATGGATCTCTTCTCGGGCTCTTGTTATGAATCCGTGCCCAGGGTTTTGGAGACTTGATTCAGGCAGCCTCCTTTTGCTTTATCAAGCGCATGTAAGCGTTAGATATCGCAAGCGCTTTGGGCACCAAGAAATGCTGACTTGACGTGAGTAGCATTTTATTTGGGGATAATCTGGAACCCAATATAATTATAGAGTAAGCATATATCCTCCTTTCGGGTGTCGTATTTTACATGAGGAATGTAATCTTACCGGGTTTAACCACCAAAAAAGTGCTACTCACGTGCAAGCATTCAAAGGATGACCACTCTAAAGATTACTCAAAGGGTCCATATGTCTACATAGCATCTATTTAGGCCTAGACCCCAAGACTTGTGTATCAGCCCCTGTGGTCCTCAAGTACATGCTACATAGTAAATAATATTACGTCGACCCTTTGACCAGGGCCTCCCCCTCAAGAAAACCCATAAACCCTAAACTTGGCACACGCTAAACCCTAAACCCTAAACCCCAAATGCTAAATCCTGAACCTTAAGCCCTAAACCCCAAACCCTAAACTCTAAACCCCAAACCCTAAACCCTGAACCCTAAATCTTGAAGGCAACGGGTGGAGAGAAGAGCGGAACTGAGCCGGGGATCTCAGTCCCGAGCCGGATGTCCACTTGCGTTCCGGCACAAGAAAATCTCCCCCAAGGGTCAACATATTTATACAGTAGGGTTTAGGTTTAGGGTTTCGGGTCTAGGGTTATATATAGTTGGGTTTGTGGCTTAGGGCTTAGGGTTCTAAGTTAGGCCCGAAGTACCTATACAGAAGCCACTTTTGCCCCCAAGCACATGCGTTCTGGAGCTCATGAGCCGTGATCATTTTAGGATGGCAAGTAGCGATTTCCACGCAAATTTAAAGGCGAGCGCAGCCAGATTCCGTGATGAAGGGGAATCTTCTCTGATGCAGGCACTTGAGGCAGGCGTATGCAAGCACAGCAGGCAAAATTTGCCAGCAGAACATACATTCCATTTTTGAGCCGAAGTGGCAGGGGAACCTGCTATGGAGGAGTCCAAGCGAGATGGTGCATGTGCCTGTGACGCCTTGCATCGCTCGACGCTGGACAGCATTTCCTGGACCTGCGGTCCGGGTGTTGGCATTTCAAAATGGACCCTTCAAGAGCCGCACACGCCGTAGGCTGTCGTCGTGCCCATGAAGCCTACGCGAAAAGGCACGGAAGTTAAATCGCACGGAACATGCCCAGAGGGTCCAAGTACCCAATATTTATATTCTTGGGTGTTGGGCAGCAGTAATTCTAGTATAGGGTTTGGGTCAGTATATGATTATTAGGTACTTGGACCCTTAGGGATGTGGCATGAACATGCGCAGGGTTGCACCAAATTTCGCGGAGACTGCGGGAGATTTCGGGCTGCAAGGGTGAGCGTAACTACGTAAGAGGATTACCTTGACTTTAGGGCTTAGTTCCTCCCACGTCGCAGAGGGAGAGGGAGGTAGACATCAGCAGGACCTCCCCAATCGTTGTGGATACCGATTTCAAATTTCCCAAGTTTTTATTTACTATGAAAATGTAAGCTCAGTGCGGCGCACGCATTTGCACCAAATTGTGCGGTGCAGATGCTGTTGACTATTTGTGCAGACCACGCGCAAAATTACTTGGTAAACCTTCCTGGGGGGTAGTAGTGAATAAGGTAATAATATCCCAATAGAATCCCCATATGCCCTATATGCTGTATTCCCCTATTCCATACTGAACCCCAGTAAAAGCCCTAAACCCCTAAACCCTACATACACCCTAAACCCCAAATCCTTAAACCCTAAACCCCGAGCCTGTGGCTTTCTATATTCGCTGACCTCACCCCACTTTCTGCCAGAGTTCCAGAAAGTCCCAAATGCCGGGATTGCCAAAAGGATGGTCTCGAGATTAGGGTTTAGGGTTTGTATTTCTGGGTTTAGGGTTTAGGGGAAACCCTAAACCCTAAACCCTAAACATGCTAGGGGAGATAGGGATAGATAGGGAGATGTAGGATCTTGGGATGTCTTAGGATCAGAGCCTTGGCCCGCCTTCATTGTTCCTTTAACAGTACCCCTAAATCTACATGGGGATTTCCCCCTTAAATTGGGGGTACCTTATGAAAGTCCCAAGAATATAAGATTAATTATAGAATTTGGGGGTCTATATTGGGGTCCCCTTATTTAGGGAAACTACGATATGTAGATATGTGAGTATATTAGGCGTACCCTGGGTACTAGGCTTTGCCTCCTAATGTTGTTCAATGATGGAGTCGCCAAGAGGGTTCCGAACTTTTGAGATTCATAAGGCCAGTAGTCACCTGAATTAATCTTGGGGCCCAGGTAGTCCCGTCTAGGACGTCTGCAGTTGTAAGGAAGCCGGCGGCCATTTTGGACGAAGTGGTTACATTGTTTTTTAGGGTAGCTGCTTTAGAGTTATTTGGGGAATCTAGGGGAACCTGATTACCCTAACAGGACCTTCAAAACGAGTCACCGAACCTTGGCCTCCGATCCCCGCCCATTCAGCCCTATCTTTCAAGGACAGTAGCCTATGCAGGGGGTCCTTTTTGGGGTTCCATGGGTTAGTTTGCGGGAGGGTACCCCACGACCTGATATTCCAGATGCTCCTGGAAGCTACCCCTAGGGATCCAAATAGGCCAAGGTAGGTAACATTGACAGACGTTAGGGCCCAACGTAAGGATTATTTGTATACTTGGAGCCCTAGGGTACGCTTTATGAAACGCGGTTGGGGGATGTCATTAGCTTGAATCGTGCTTGGCAGCGCTCTGTCCTTTAAGGCAAATGTCTTTGTGCAGTTGCAGGTTGCATGCGGGCGTTCAAGATTAAATGCCTTTGCGGAAGATAAATGCATCCAGAAACCGCGGCCCCATGCGCGAGAAAGAAGAGATGAAAGGAACCAACATGTGGACCGCCGTATATGAGCCCAATAACAGAGATCCTATTCTCAGCTTGGTTTTTCAATCTGAGCTATAGTCTAAACTCGTTAAAGCGGGGTTACATAGGGGATTGTATAGTGGTGTATGATAGGGGTTTTTTGAGGGTTACACTAGGAGTTTGGACTATAGCTCATACTCCATTTTCTCCCAGCCTTAATAAGCCCTAGAGTACTCCCCTACATAACCCCTATATAACCCCCTTTAAGGACCTGGGACTATAGCTCATTTATTGGAGGTTCCCCTTTGCTCCAAGGACCGGAAAGGATGCTCGGAAGAAGGAGAAGAAGGAGTCAAAGGAGTCTCCCAAGCTCATGAAACCCAAAGGATCCTAAGCACCTATAGCGGGAGTACTTATTCAAACCATATTGGTAGTTCCGAGTATAGAAACAGTACTTTGTTCACAATGGATACTTTGGATCCTTTGGGAAAAACAAGCTGCAGTGACGGATGTGCTTGTGCTGAGATCGCATATTAGTTGTTGGGTCAGGCTTATCGGTGCCATCCATGAGTGTATGTACTCCATGGGCTATACAACACGTGTAGGAGGACTTTTGCAGGCCTGGGAGGACATTTGCAGAACCTTAGTTTTGATACGAGCAAAATTAAACTGCGTGCAAACAGCCGCACTTAGTTCACCTGCGGTGGACGCTACAGAATTGATATACACCCTAAACTTAAATCCAAAATGCCCAACTTCCTGTCCTTGCCCTGTTTCATACTTTAGAGTATGGGGTTTAGATAGCGGCTGCGTGTATTCAACAGACTTCGCTGAGCATGTTCCCAACAGGTGTGTTAGGCATGGCGGCATTCCAAAGTGAAGGCATGAGCAAAATCTTTGGAGGTGGATGTGCCTGACACGCCCGCGTGCACCTACAGCCTTCCCCCTTTTTGTTCATCATTCCCTGACAGGCAGAAAGACTCACAATATATTCCAGGAATCCGGTTGAAACGTGTATGCACAAATCACGGGAGCAAATTACAAGTACACGGGGACAAAGGACATGTCAATTGTAGTAGGGGCGGTGTTTGGAAGGAGGGCTCCCCTACTCAAAGCAGACAGTTGTGTTAGCACATGCGTCTGCTTGGCCTGGCCACGTTTTAGGGTTTAGAGTTTTTGGTTTAGGGTTTTGGGCTTGCTGTTTAGAGTTTAGGGTTTTATAGGTTGCAGTGTCACCTCATATATCCCTGGGAAAGCCTCTGCTTCCACATGCCTAAAGCCGAGCGGTGGGAACCTCAGAAGCTCCCTAAGAACCCCAATGTGTCACACGACTGCAGAAACCCTTCACAAACCCTAAAACTCAAGGATATCCTCAGATTTCAAGCCTAAGCCCCGGTCCCTTTTCGTGACTTCTCTGGGTTGGTGTCACCAAACTGAAGCCAAGTTACCATCATATGGATATTACAGGGTTTAAGGTTAAGGGTCAGTAAATACAGGTTCTATGACATGGAGTTTCCCTATTAGGGCAACTAAAACCAACTTAGCAACCAAGTTTCTGGGCCTTTCCTGGCGATAGGATCCTGCCACAGCTGACAGCGCTGCTGGGGCCCCCCGGAGCATGCAAGTTTGGCTTGCAACCCTAAACCCTAAATAGGAGTGTAGAGGAGCATGGAAGCAATTCTATGATTTGCTGATAGGAGCTGAGTGGGTAACCTTCAGCGAACCTTTCCAGGAATATATATCACCCGGTAAGATGTTAAAGCTTATCCTTAGTATGTGAGGAAACTACGTAGCTAGGTTGAGGATACCCTATGGGGCTACTGTAGGGGTACACTTGTGTATTGCTGGTTGTGAGGCTTTGAAAGCAAATGGACCTTGTGATGGAAACAGAGGGTTGATAGGGATATGTAGGGTGAAGGTTTTAAACCCTAAGACTGGAACCTTCAACCCCGAACCTAAAATCTAAACCCCAAACGTTTCATCTACCGCAAGCCATGTCAGCTTCTTGCGCAAGATCCGCAGATTGTGCTGTTTCCGTATATATAGAGTTTAGGGTTCCAAAAGCCCACGGAAAAAGGTGTGGGGGGTTCCTAAGAAGTGAGGGCGGCTCTTCCATCCGTTGAAGTTATAGTTGTTAAGTAGATATACATGCGCATGCTTAGTTTTCATGGGCTTTCAGCAACTATGATCCCGACCACTATGGTGGGAGCTATTATATATTAGGCCCCCACGCTCGCAAACCTTTCCTGTGGGATCTTTGAACAGAAGTTGTTGCCATGCCTACTTTCGGAGACGATTGTGCTGCGCTGCTGAAAACGGGACTTCGAAAAGCCATCAAGCTACTGCAGAGTTGCCAACAATGCTGTGGTCCACATTGTGGGGTAATTCTCGCTTTTCATTAGGATGTGGGCTGTGCCTTTGGTGCAGAAACCAAGATAGATATAGTCCCCCTTAAGCAGATAGAATATGGCTTTGGGTATATTGTAATAAGATCGCCATATACCCCATATTCTATCTAATCAAGGGGGCCTTAAACCCTAAACCCTAGATATCCCTATATAACCCATTATAGTACTTTCCATTTTCTTTTCCATTATCCCCATATACCCCATATTCTATCTACTTAAGGGGAACTATAAGCAGCGGGAAGCCCAGGCCTCGAAAGCGCAAGGTGAGGAAGAAGATGAGGAGGCTAGGGCTTAGGGCAAGAGGCTTGGGGTGTATACTAGGGTTTAGGGCTTAGGGCTTAGGGTGTATACCAGGGTTTAGGGTTTAGGGCTTATGGGGCTCGGGGCCAGGGTGTATACTAGGGTTTAGAGGGCTTATAGGGCTAAGGGCCGGCGGAAGTCGCTTGCGAAATGGGCTTCACCATTGCATATGAGCTTGAGTCTGAACTCCTAGTATCCTCCTTGATAAGCCCTATAATAGTCTCCTAAATAATCCCCTAAATGACCCCCTTTCAGGAGTTGAGACGGTAGCTCATATAGTGACTATGCGGTTTAGCAGAACTAAGGCAGACTGACGCTGCAACGAATGAGCTCTACTGGGTTGATGTTAAGGAACTTACGATAAGTTATCATAATTGTATATATATATAGAAAAATAGGGGTTCCCCAATATAGTTACTTGAATTAAGTTCCTTAATAGCAACCCAGTCTAATGGCCAGGTTGTTGCATGATCAAGTTTCCGCACACAGTCCAACGGTGCCTTACGGTCTTGGAAGGTTGGGTCACCTGCTGATGTGAACGAGCCCGACGTGAAATGGGAACGCCCTGTTCCCAGAGGGTTTAGGGTTTAGGGGTTTAGGGTTTAGGGTTAGTCTGGTCTTGCGCGATTGTGGGCCTTCATCACCAACTTTGCATGCGGCGTATGTGAAATTGATTATGAGTTGTCACTGTGGGGACCAAGTATGGGCCAACACCTTGTTTCTACGAATGCCTAAATTCAAATACGCGCTATTGGGAACGGAATAAGTATTCCCTATTTGATGGTTCCAGTGGTAACTCAGGGAAGGCGTCGGGGTGTCGTGCTTCGGCTTTGAGCAACCTCACGACGCAAAATGCTTCCACCTATAGGGCAGACAGCACCATGCAACAAAACCCTAAGCCCTAAACAGGGCTTACGGGATTTCTGTTCAAGTTGACATTTCTACGCGGAAGCAGCCTTGCCCCCCCATAGTGGGTCCCAACCCCCCGACCCTCCCAAAGGGTCCATGTAGGTATGCAGTATATACTTGGGGCCCAATGGGGTTCCCATATACCTACGTGGACGATTTGGGTTTGAAAGGTGAATGTTGCCTTTAACAGAGTGTAAGTAAGGGGAGCCAAAGCACATTTTTTTTGGGGCATGAGTTTCATTGAAGAATCATGCGGGATACGCAGGGATATCCTTGAGTCTTGCAAATACTCGTACGGCTTCTGTATTTCACTTTGTATAATAGGGTTTAGGGTTTAGGTACTGTATAATGGAACCTAACAGGGCATCGAACTAGAATCAGGGATGCCCTTTGCTTTGCGAGGTCCTGAATGGGCTTTTTACAATACCGCCAGCACATGGTTGGAAAGTGAGCAGCCAGTCTGTGAATATAAGCCAGTGAATTGCAGACCCCAAGGCAAGTCGATACATCAGAATCAATTAATGCTGTCCTGGGCTTCCTTAAAAAATACAAAACCATTTCTTCTATGTATGTCAAAACAGGGTTCATGTGGGCCCGCATCTGCTTCTTTCAGTACCTTGCAAACAGCACATCATATCCAAGGCAAGGGTCTGCTTTTTGTTTTTAGGGAGCACGAGGGGCAAAGTGGCCAACGCTTTTTACGGCTATCGGGGAAGCGATTAAGCACATGATATGCGCCGTTGCGCTCGAGCATGGCACACTGAGCCGGCGAAACCTGGCAATACATGGGTTATTGTCAAGATCAAAATTATAGGCCCTTTTGGTTATAGATTAGTTCTATTGCGGCGCCCAGTTTTTAGGAATACCAAAATGGGACCCCAATTATCGGGAAACCCTCCCGCGTCGTCTCAGGTTTCATCAGAATCCCATCCTAAAGCCGCCTGCATGGAAAGATGAAACGTAATAGCAATTGATCCCAATGTAGGGTTGAAGTTTTTTTTCTCGGTTTGGTGTTTAGGCTTTAAGGGTTACAGTTTTAGGGCTAAGGGCATCCTGTGGGGGTTTAGGAATTGCTTCCCAGAACTTCCAACACCACTCAAGTACCAGAGATCCCCTCAAAGGTCCTCTTAAGTTCTACAGCACCTGAAGGCAAGACCAAGACAAAAGTTCCCAAGCCCGGTGAGCGCAAGAGGGGAGTGCAGCTGAGATCTTAGCCGCAGGGTTTCGGGTTTTTGGCTTGGGGTTTAGGGTTTAGGCCCCCAAACCCTAAATCCGGGTTTAGGGTATATCGGGTGTAGGGGTGATGTGCAGAGTTCGGAGCGTTCTAAAACGAGGGTATACAGGGGAAAGCGCAGAGGGTTTCCGGATAAACGAGGGCAGCCAGTAGAGGCCCCATGAGGTTACAACCCTTCTCACGGAGACTCCCTACAGTGGCCCCTAAATTTACTGGTTGCTAGTAGGGAATAGGGGAATATAACCCCTACATAACCCCAATAATATGATATATTATATCTTTCAGTAAGTCAAGCAGAGGAATGGCCCTCCTGGTAGTGAGATGCAATTTGATCAGGGTTTAGGGTTGGGGGGAATTTGGAGAGTCAGAATTGTATGCATCTCCCGGGTCCTGGGTAGAACACCAGGACGCGGCTGAATCCTAGAGACGGCTGTAGGGTTTGGGGTATCTCTGCTACTCTGGAGCACATTAGCGTGTCGTCACGCTTGTCCTCGTGTCATTTCAAGTGCTTGATTCACTTGCTTGTGGATGATTTACTCCTTTTTCTCTTCAGACCTCGCCATGCGTAGCTATGAGATGTCATTCTGGCATGTGTGTGGTTTAGGGTTTCAGACTTAGAGGTTTAGGGTTTGGGGTTTAGGGTTCCCTTTCAGGTGCATGTAGCAGTGTTGGACCTGTCTTTGGATGGTTCCCCTCCCCTCCGAGCACTGGAAACCACACCCCTGTAATTTGTGGGTATTACGGGGTCCATGTGAGCTTTAGTCTAAACTCCTTAAAGGGGGTCATTTAGGCGACTATATCGGGGAGCATTATGCGAGTTATGACGGGGGATACTAGGAGGTTAGACCCTGAACCCTAAATCCCTATTCATGATATTATGTTGGGTTGAGAATCCCCATTTATGATATTATGCTGGGTTGATATTCACGAGGAGGTGGGGGGGGGTATTCACAAGAGGACGGGATTCTCATGCTGATGATGATCTAACTCTAGGGTTTTGGGTTTGGAGGTTAGGGTTTTGGGTTTAGGGAGGATCCGAGAATGAAGTCCTTGAAAAGGGTGCTCGCACATTTCTTCACTTAGCACCCAATTGCAATCCTTCACAACTGCCTTTGCATTGTTGTTAGTTTGCTTCCAACCCTAAAACCACACAGCCCATACCCTGAACCCTAAAGCCTAAACGAGAGTAGTATAGCACGGACCGGACCGACTTTTCCGTGCCTGCTTGAGCGATGCGCGTGTCTAAACCCTGAACATTTGGATTGTCAAAGCATTATGGTTGCCATCAGCTTTGTAATGTAGATGCCTAGAGACTCAGGACATGATCCCTTTGCAATAACCCTTTTCTAAATTCATTATTCGATCCTCCTTGGGTAGGGTTTAGGGTTTAGGACTCGTAGAAGCATAACTGGGCAATTTAAAGCGACCTCACCCGACCTTACCCTAAATGGCGGTCTATGTAGGGAATAGTACCAAAATGACCTTAAGTTGGGATTTGAAATTCTTCTAAATTTCCCAGGGAGTATACTATACTATCGCTTTAGGGCCTGGTTACAATTCTTTGGAGACCAGCACCCGGGCCTCCTTTGGCTGCTGCAAGGTTTGGAGGAGATGCTCAGGTTGAGCCTGAGAAGCCCAAGGAAGGCCAGTTACTCCAAGGGGTTTGGGGCTTAGGGTTAGACCAGAGGAATAATGGAAAAGAATATGGAAACTACTACATTATACTAGGGTATATATTGAGGTTATAGCCGGGAATAAGGGAATGTATTATATAGGGGTTATAAATAGGTGGGGGATGTCCCTTTTGGGTAGTACGTCCCCCCAAAGCCAACCCGGCATATACTGGGGGAGTGAGCATCTTCTTCTGACCCTGGCTGCGCTCCTGCCCTTCTAAAAATGTCGTGTTAGGATATTTCAAGGCAATATCAGGTGCGTGGTTTCTCCCATATAAGCCTCACATAATCCTGATGAAAGGGTACCTACCTGGTAACTATCCAACCGAAACTCCCTAAACCCTAAACCATTAGGATATGGGCGAACGACCGGCCAGTTTTGCGGGACCAGCTTAAAGCTTCACATCTCGGGTCCACATCACACTGGAGTTTAGCCTTGTAGGGTTGAGAGCTCCTACTTTCATAACCCTGAAGAAGCCACGTGGGCCCTCAACAAAATGTCTAACAGTGCCCATGGGAAAGAGCCAAGCATATAGGCTATTATTCTCCCGCCTTTTTGGGCCCGTGGTGATGCTGGTGACGGGAGTCATAGTGTCTTAAGGTTATTATATACAGGGTATATAACATGTGCATTAGGCAAATTTGAGATAACTCCAGCATGACCGCATTCAGCGGATGGGTATATAAGAGCTGCAAGCGATCACGTTAGACATAGTCATGGAGTGCTTGCGTGATGTCACCAACAACATGCAGGGGGCAGAGGCGCAAGTTGAAGATCTATACCCGTTTGCAGCTTATACCCCCACGTACCCCCGATTTCATCCGCAAAACCTGCACATTGCATAGGGTAGTTTCCCAAAATAGGGGGACCCCAATATAGACTCCATGGTAATATAATCCTTATTATAGGGACCCTCAAAAAAAAGTACCCACAATTTTGACAAACCCTAAATCCCTTTATTGCCTCCAAAAGCTGTATCTCCTCATGTTCACGGCGTGTGTATCTTGACGTAAACCTAGGTTTTGCATAACAAGCCAATAATCATGAGCAAGGTTCATACTGCCCTGTATCGCCCCTGGGCAAGTCCAATTCTCTTGATGTATCCCATAGGCTTGCAATTTCGGACGTTCGGTGGCAATGTTAAAGCTTACAGCCTTGTAGGGGTATAGTGCTTGGCAGAGTTGCGCACGACTGCAAGCCAATGAACATGAATAAGGATTACGTACTTGATCCCTCTGGCACTGCCTGTGAAATCCTTACCACATGCTGCATCTCATTGCTTCATTCCCTACCACGCGCTGGGAAGTAACAGTCATATGACTCATTGGCCGTGAGGTTCCGAGGACGGAAGTGATGTAGAGCTCTTCCAGGACACTTGTCGCTGCTTTTTCCGTTTCGCAGTGACCTTGACGTCTTTGGCACAGACCAGATAGTTCCAGTAGTAACAGCCTATTGCATCCTACCGCGAAGTGGTTCCAAGACTATGCCAGAGATGTTATTCCTCCCCCTAACAACAAACCACCCACACCGCCCTAGCACAAACACCCCTCTAGCACCATGATTACTATCCGGTAACATATGTGCACACATATATATATATATGTATACATGTGTATCAGGAAACTTGTGTTTTGCTAGGGTGGGTGGAGGTTTTGTGATTAGAGGAGGGGATGAATTAGCTTTTGTGCTTCCATGCCGCAAGTCTTTGGTCAGGGTTACCCAGCACCAAAGGCATTGAACTTCATAGTCCCCCTTAAGCAGACAGAATATGGGGTATATGGGGATCTTATTTCACCCAAAGCCGTATTCTATCTACTTAAGGGGGACTATATCACTACTTGGTACAATTGCACGGTGATGGCTCACAGAGACTGCGACACGATGCCCCCGGGGACTTTGCAAGCTGAACTACATCCAGAGTTGTTAAAGAACCCCGAACTGAGCGAATGACCAATAGGGTTTAGGGTCCGAATAAGCCTGATGTGTTTTCTCAAACCCTAAACCCTAAACGCGTCCGGATACCTATGTCATAACATACCCGGGGCATTCACAGAGGTTCCTGTTATAGGTATCGTGGGGCCTAGGTACATGTACCGTATGGGTACATGCTTATTGGGTATTACATTGTATAAGCTAACCCAGGCCCTTGATTAATAAACCTGCCTCCCCTTAATAGGCATTATAAAAGGGATCCCAATATTCAGGCCTTTAAAGGGAGGGATTTATTAATCATGGGTCTACATCAGAAAAGACAGCAGCGGGGTGTGTTCAAACCTCTGGCTTATAAGCTGCCAGGACTTGAAGAAGAAGGGTCCAGCAGAGGCGACCCTGGTCAGATAGGTTTTAGGGTTTAGGGATTTAGGGTTGCGTCTTCTGGCATCTTGCAGTTCCTGATTCAAAGGGATTTGGGGTTTAGGGTTTAGGGAATACTTCCACCCAGACCTCCCAGATCATGGGTAAAAAAGGTTATAATCATAGGTTTGGGGGAGGTCAAAGAAAGGGAATGTGAGTGAAGGCTGGCATGGAGGGGTGACCACATAGACTACAGCTGACATACAATCCATGTAAGGGGTTTAATGTTCAACTTTTGGGACGGCAGTGTTTTGGCCTGCCGCAATCCCAGTATTGATAAGAAACACGGCCTCACCATGCGCTTTAATTCTGACCTATTACTCGTAGACTGGTCTTGAGCGCACCAACAGCTTAGTTCCCCCAGCAATATGCTTTCTCAATGCTAGATGTTCACAGTTTGCGAGGTTGCCCATGTTTGATGCTACTTGAAGGGATGTGGGACAATGTTGGTGCAAAGGATGGCGAATTTCAGCTGTCATCGCGACCCGCTGATTTTGGGCTGCAGAAATTACCTGGCGGCAAAAATAATTCCACAAAAAAACATCCTACTGTATATGGGAGGGTTTCCTTCATATTCTAAGTCATGGGACCCTGTTTGTTAACCCTTTGGGATTCTCCTATACTCCTATGATATGTACCCAAGGGTTATTGCTTAGTAGGGGTCCTAAGTGCCACGTAATTCGCGTTTAAAGATGGATCCATAAGCTTGTGCCACAGGAACCGAACCCTAGCTTACACAAACCCTGAGCCCAGAACAGAACCGGCCCTGGACCTCAACCGTTTAGGGTTTGTGTTGGGTACTGCCCCCCCCAGTAACAGTCTATATTAGGAGTCCTATCAAGGGCTATATATAACCATATTATAATTATTATCCAACTGTTACTGAGGGGGGGGAGTACCCAAGGCTGATGTTTTACAACAGGGCTATAACCAACAGCACTCTGTAGCCTTACTAGTACGTATAGGATATAGGGCTTAGGGGGTGCCATCCCTGAACAGCTCTAGAAATGGCGACCCCCACCCCCTTCATAAGGCGGCTTTGGCCGCCCGAACCCCCACACCCCCAAAGCAAAAGTTACATACAGAGTATATAGCGAGTATATAGGGATATAATCTAGATATTGAAAGCAAGGGATTCTGGTGACCTCTTTCATGGAGAGATTCATAGGGCACATATGGATTTATAGGAGTTGCAGGGTTGAATAAGGGGGGGTTGGTAGCCCCCACATTTGGGACAGCCTTTTTTGGGACGCACTTGTACTATCTTGTCTTTCGTCCCTGTAAGATGTCATGATTTGTTCGAAGCACTGGCAAAGTGACCCGCACATCTTTGATAGCTTTCCATCCCGAACCTCTACAATACCCCATCGTCCCCTTGAACCACCTAGTCAATCAAGAATAGGGTTTATGGTTTAGGGTTTGGGGTGACTTTTTTCAAAATCCTGGTCCCTTTGTCTTGGCCCTTAAACGTCTTGGGCTGTATCATGATGCAGGCCTAGAAGGCCAATATCTTCGCAACCTTCCACATGAGCCGGGGTGTAAATTCCTTAAAGGGGGTTATATAGGGGATTGTATAGGGGAGTATTATAGACGTTATTAAGGAGGATACTAGGATTTTAGACTGTACTTCATATGATTTTCCTATGATGCCCTACTTGGCTTACGGTGCGTCTTCAGTGTTTAAGTGGGACCAATAATTCTCAAAGCAGGCTATGACGGCTTTGAACTATTCTACATATAGCAACCCGCAGCTTCGAGAAAAGACCATACATGCCCATCTTCCCTACACAGCGACATACCTACCCTAAACCATCCTAAGGCAAATTTTAAACCCGAAGCCCTGAACCCAAACCCTCAAACCCAGACACAACAATTGTCCCGAACCCGTCCTCCGAGTAGCATTTGCTACAGATGGAGGTCCCCCCAGCTAGCTCTGCCGAGAAAAGCCCTGAGGAGCGGGCTGTTTTAGGGTTTTGGGTTGGGATTTGGGACCTCAATGGGCTGGGGATTCAGGATCAATTGGGTGTGTGTTTGGGTCTATGCGGTGACGGGATGTAGAGGGTTGGGATCCTCGGCTGTGGGGGTTAGGCCCTTCCAGGCGTCATAGGACTGTTGTTGTTGTTGTTGTTGTTGTTGTTTTTTCGGGGTGCCTGTGAGACGGACGTTGCTTAATACCTCTTTCAAAAAGGTGTATTCAAGCTGCGTTCCTTGCCCTCTGCTTGGACCAGCGACTTCAGATTGGCTTTTGTCAGCGCCCGTGGTTGCTTAGTGAGGTTTGGCAGGCAACACACCCCAAGAAATTGGTAGCTGGATTGCTGACACTGACGCATCGCCAGAAGCACTAGGAGTCAGAACCAGACCACGAACCCAGGTGACCCCACCACCCTTCTTGCTCCAAATATCTCCAAATGAAGGAGGGTCATTGTGTCGCCTAGCCCATATGAATCGTCATTCGATAACTTTCAGGATCCCTCGATCCCTTAGATCGCTAGGTGTGGCAGGCATGCACGGACACCATCTTGCTGGGGCTTAGTAGGGGATAAAGAAAATGTAGTAAGGGGTTCTGCAGGGAATATATTCCCTTATTCCCGGCTAACCCCCAACCCTAAACCCTAAACCCCAAACCCTAACCCCCAGTCAGCCAGTTGACTGAACTGGAAGGATGACTTCGCCAACTTCTTGGATGAAATCAAGGAGCTGGACGTCCAACCCTCAGCATCCGCAACAACAGGTTTCGCTGTCGGTTGAACATTTTTATTCGCGGTTAGTAGGGAATAAGGGAATGATTTGTTTAGCGAATATTTTCCGTCATTCCCTATTCTCCACCAGTAAGCAAATCATAATCATAGTCTTTGCTGATGCTCTGGAGTTTTAATCTCCTCCGAGCGCATATGGGGACTGAAGAGGAGCTCGGGGAAGCAGTGTTTGACATGTGGACATGTCCGAGTGCCCAGGCACAGGGGTCGGAATAGCGGACGGTACCAACCCCTGTGCATGCGCCCATGACTATTTTTGGAGGATGTCCCAATGGGCTTCCACTAGCAGTCGGAAGGAACCTCTGCCGTACATTTCTCAGACCTGTGCACTCTATCGCATCGGAGGCTCTTCTAGCAACCAGTGTGCAGAATTGACATCTTGCATCCTGGGCTAACAAGAGACAGAACCACAGGAACCATGGAAAAACTCCCCGAAGTCGCAACCCTCCCGACGCTTGAGTGAGCAGCCCAATCAGAGCTCTGGCGGCATATGAGCTGGCCCATTTGGAGATCCCCAGAGCAGGGGTATGTATCAGTTTGGGGGGAGTGAAGTCAGGGAAAGCCTGATTTCCCCATGTGCCTTGGCAGCCTGCTTGCATGACCAATAAACTCCCGAGACAGACCTTGCCATGCTCTCTCGCTGTTGCTCTCCCTTTAGCCCGCCCCCTCCCTATCTCTGTGTCTCTTTCTCCTCCCTGACTCTGGAGGCCTGCACACATCGCTTGCAGAGCTCCTTGCATATCTGGGATGGCAGTGAGAATGAGTAGGCACCAGGACAGGGGACATATCAACTTCGGGCTGCCTTAAATATGACCACCCCATCATCCCACCAACAGGGCACATTATACGGATGTGTGTAGTCGTTGCTTTAGGGTTTAGGGTTCCCTTTTAAAGTTCCCCCAATAAACCTGGACCTCCCAACTGAGGCCTTGACAGGGCAGGAGCCCGCGTCCGCAGTCTGGACCTTAGCTCATGATCGCACTATGTGTTTGCAATGTTTGTTTGGAAGAGGGTCCCTACAAACCCTAAACCGTATGAAGCCCCTGTATAGCCCATATAATCCCTCTAAAGGTAACCCCTAGGTAACCCTATCATTCCTTGAAAGGTAACCCCTATATAACCCTATAATCCCTTGAAAGGTAACCCCTACATAACCCTATAATCCCTTGAAAGGTAACCCCTATATAACCCTATATACCCCTATATGGAACCCGTGCTTTTTTGCTGTTAGGTCTTTTTTGTTGTTAGGCCCTTACAGCCCAGCCAGGCAGGCCTGTAAGTGAGTGAACTCCCGTCCCCGCCCAAACAGCAAAAACAACAAATACGGCCCCGCCCAAACGGCAAAAAAATACAACACGTCCCCTGCCCCAACAGCAAAAGATAAAACGCGACCTCCGCCCAAACAGCAAAACATAA